GGCCAGGGGGCACTGGAAGAGCAGAGCCAAAAGGCTCATCATCTCTGCCCCTTCTGTTGATGCCCCTGTGTTTGTGATGGGTGTGAATCACCAGATGTATAACTCCCTCAAGATTGTCAACAATGCCTCCTGCACCACCACCTGCTTAGGCCCCCCTGGCCGAGGTCACCCATGACAACTATAGCATCGTTGAGGAACTCAAGACCACGATTCATGCCATCACAGCCACCCAGAAGACTAGATGGTCCCTCTGGGAACTGTGGCATGATGGTCATGGGGCTGCCCAGAACATCATCCCTGTATCCACTGGTGCTGCCAAGGCTGTGCGCAAGGTCATCCCAGCGCTGAATGGGGAACTTACTGGCATGGCTTTCTGTGTTCCTATCCCCTGCACCACCACCCCCATGTGTCTGTTGCGGATCTGACCTACCGCCTAAAGAAAGCTGCTAAATACGATGGCATCAAGGAGGTGGTGAAGTAGATATTGGAGGGCCTCCTAAAGGGCATCCTGGGCTATACTGAGGACCAGGCCATCTCCTACAACTTTGGCAGTGACACCCCCCTTCTACCTTTGATGCTGGGGGTGGCATTGCCCTCAACGACCACTTGTCAAGCTCATTTTCTGGTATGACAATGAATAACAGTAACAGGGTGGTAGACCTCATGGTTCACATGGTCTCCAAGGAGAAAAGCCCTGAACCACTCACCTCAGCAAAAATACCCCAACAAGAGGAAGAGAGATATCCTCGGTTGGGGGGTCCCTGCCCCAACTCACCCCCCCCCAAAACACTGAGTATCTCCCATCACAGTTTTCATCCCAGAACCCCAGACAAATTGGAGGGACTTAGGGAGCCCTACTCTATTGATACCATCAATAAAGTTCACTGCACCCCCCAAAAGGAATCTGGAACAGGGTGGCAGAAGAGGAAAACTGAGGGGGTGGGGACTGGAGTGATGATTCAGCAGTTAAGAGCACTGACTACTCTTAGGATCCAGGTTCGATTCCCAGCACCCACATGGCAGCTAACAGGCCGTAACTCCAGTTCCAGGGATTCCAATGCCTTCTTCTGACCTCTGACCTCTGTGGGCATTGCATGACATGAGTATACTTACACACATGCAGGTAATACACCCATACATAAAAAAATAAAATATTTTTAAAAGAAGAGGAAAATTGATTACTGTTAAAGTTTTAAGGAAATGATAGTACAGTGGACTTGATGCTAGCTAGAGATGAGAGTATGGAAGGTGTCCAAGATTACTCCTTGCTTCTGAGTCAAGTAATTGAATGGATGGGAA